GTTTCCTGTCCCTCAGCCTGGCCACTGTCACGTTTCCCGTCCCTCAGCCTGGCCACTGTCTCGTTTCCCGTCCCTCAGCCTGGCCACTGTCACGTTTCCTGTCCCTCAGCCTGGCCACTGGTACATTTTTTGTCCCTCAGACGTGCCCTCCTGTAAAGAGACAGTCACCTAAGTGGGCTGGTGGGAGAAATGACTCAGTAACTTCATCCTGTCACAATCTCACTGAATCTTTCATTTGTAAAGGGGAGTAAGACCTCATAAGACTGCTGGAGAATTAAATAAGACAACGTGGGTTACCAAGGCAAATAAGGCGGTCTCTGGTATTGCTGTTATTCTTAACTCACCCTAAGGGAACAGAGCTGTGGTCCTAGTTACAGGAACAAAGCTGAAGTGAACTTCTTCATTTATTGAGAAGTTGAAAACTTCCTTTTTTTAACCTTTTTTTTAACTAACCTTTGATCCCGTAGACACTAGCACAGTGGCTAATGAGTAGAGCAAGATATCAGAAGCAATCTACCCGGTGACCTCAGACCCAGCAGGAAAGCCAAGAACACAGCACAGTCATTTTTCTTTTCTTTCTTTTTTTTTGGTAGAACTGTCTCACTTTATTGCCCTCAGTAGAGTGCTTGGTATCACAGCTCACAGCAACCTCCAAATCCTGGACTCAAGAGATTATCCTGCCCCAGCCTCCCAAGCAGCTGGGACTATCGGTGCCTGCCACAACACCCAGCTATTTTTTTGTTGCAGTTTGGCTGGGGCCAGGTTTGAACCCACCACCCTTGGTATATGGGGCTGGTGCCCTACTCACTGAGCCACAGGTGCCACCCAACACAGTCATTATCCACTCAGGGCAGTCCCTAGGTGTGGGGTGGCAAATAGGTTCATCTTGGCTGCCGCACCTCACTGATGCCAAACGCCTGCCTGGGGTACCGTGTTAGAGGACAGAGGCCACGTGCAGACTCAGACTGATTAGATTTGAGAGGAGGAAAGTATCTGCCTTTATTTTGCTCCAGATTCGCATTTCTAGTTGCAAATTAAAAGACTAAAATAGGTATTTTATACTTTGTTAGTTGTTTAGGCAACAACCTTAGGGAAGAGACTGACATTAACAGATGAAGCTGCTATGGACTGGATTACTAAATGAGCCCAGGTGTAACAAGCCCTGCACTGACGGTGTAGGTCTCAGAAATAACAACACCGCATCTAATAACTCCACGTGACGCACGGTGGAGCAGAACGAAAGGGAGAAGGCAATTTACAGGGTCACTGTGTGCGACACTTTAGTCTGTGTGAGAATTTGGTACGTTTGGTGAACAGTTAGACCCTATCTGAACACAGCTGTTCAGACAAAAAGAAACTACTACTCAAACAAAAGGTCTAAACTGTGGCCTGTAGTCCAGCCACTTGGCTGGCTGAGGCAGGAGGATTGTTTGAGAACAGTTCAAGGCCAGTAGCACGCTCCTACTGCACTTGTGGATGGCCACTGCTCTCCAGGGTGGGCAAGACCCTTCTCTAAAAACAAAAAATAGGTCTAGTGATTGGATGCCCGAAATGCTGAGTAGCTGTTAAGAGTGTTGACCATTGTAAAAGTCCCCACTTGTGTTACAGAGTTGAGTATGGGGCTTGAAGATAGATCCAGGCTTAAAAATCCCGGCTCTGGGGCTTATACTGGTCATCCTAGCACTTTGGGAGGCTGAGGCAGGAGGATCACTTAAGCTCAGGAGTTTGAGACCAGCCTGAACTGACAAGACCCCAGCTCTACAGAAAAAAAAAAAAAAAAAACAGAAAAGAAAAATTAGCCAGCCATGATGGTAGGGTAGATTGCTGGCAAGGAGATTATTCAAGCCCCAGAGTTTTGGTTACAGTGAGCTATGATGACACTCCTGCACCCTAACCCAGAGACAGAGCAAGCCCTGTCTCTCCCTTTCTCCCTCTCTCTCTGTAGATATATCAAAGTCAGCAAATATCTGGCTCTGTCTCTTAGCAGCTGCGTTACCTTTTATAAAAGCTCTTAATGTCTCTGAGCCTGTTTTCTCATTTACAGGGTTGGAAGAGATGAAGCCTGTTAAGTGTCCAGCACATAGCAGGCATGTACTAACTGACACCTCCCCCCACCTTCAACCTTACATGGCCATAGAAACAACAGCAATATGAGATATTATTATTCTCTGTCCACTCTTTCTGGTGAGTCAGGAGAGTTGAGAAGCACCCCGTTACTGATCGTGAGTGTGAAATCAGTGTTCCCTTCCCACTCTGCCACATGTTCTAGGTTTCTCATCCTCCCTCTCCAACCCTCGTGAGGTCACATTAGAGACAGGGACTGCGACCTTTCATACTGACGCAGGCAGGAGAGCCAAGGGGAGGTCCTGGGCAGAGTCCAAGGGAAGCAGCTTGCTGCCCTGCGGAGGATGAACAAAGGAAACTACCGAAGACCCAACTAGGAGGCTTCAGTGAATCCTCCTGATGGACTCGAACTGCTATTCACAGAGACACGTTTCTGTTGACTGAGAAGCTGAGGAATTACTTTTTTTAACCTTTGAACCCACAGATGCTAAATAATAAATATTAAATAATTTGGTGTGTTATCAAGATGCTAAACACACTTGATGGATAGCAGAGCACAAGATCAGAAGCAATCTACCCTACTCACCAAATACAAAACATGACACCAAGAAAATGAGGAACCCAGCCTAGGTAACACTTGAAGGTGTTGGTCTAAATAGTGTCTTTTACCAAGTGTGACATTGCTTACCACAAAAAAGGTGTCCACAGTTCGTTTCAACAGGGAAGGAGGCTTGGTGTAAACAGATGGGACAGTACATGTCGGTGTAGAACTGCTGTCGGGGGGCAGCAGGAGCATCCTGGGGAGGAAACGGGCACACGTTCAGCTGCGTCGGAGACACACCCAAGTTCTCAGCATTGCCGGTGTTAATTACATTCAAGCCAGTAGTGTGTGATCCTCATCAAATTTTAGATGTGTAATAAAGATCTTCTTATATTTTATAAACTTATATGGATAAGTTTACTTTACTTTTACTGTAATTTAAGCTGCATGGTTTCTACCCACCTTCCTGAATACAGTTTAAAGATAAAAACCCAGACTGACTCAGGAGTTCTTTTTTTTTTTGAGACAGAGTCTCACTATGTTGCCCTTGTTAGAGTGCTGTGGCATCATAACTCACAGCAGCCTCAAACTCTTGGGCTTAAGAGAATCTTTTGCCTCAGCCTCCCAAGTAGCTAGGACTACAGGCGCCTGCCACAATGCCCGGCTATTTTTTGGTTGCAGTTGTCATTGTTGTTTAACAGACCTGGGCTGAGCTCGAACCCACCAGCCTCTGTGTATGTGGCTGGCGCCCTACTCACTGAGCTACAGGTGCTGAGCTAGGAGTTCCTCTTCTTCTTTGTTAGAATGAATGAGTTATTCTGAGTAACAAGCTAAGCTAATACATAAGCTAAGAATAAAAAATGTCAAACTATTTTCTAAGTCAGCTTATTTTCATTTTTAACATCTTTTTACATTTTAACATTTGCCCTCTTGACAAGCATTGCATGTAAGCTGTACCTCGCAGGAGATCAGAATTAAACTTTCAGAGAAGAGTATCTGGTTATTTTAGAAGCAAGAAAAATTTAAGACTAACTGGTAACTTGTACTTCATCCTCCACACAGTCATACAAGTAGATATTAATATGTTTACAGTTATATCAGTGTTTGTGATTGGTCAGGAATGGTATTGCTGAATTACCAGTACCAGAAGCGTCCACATAGCAAAGACCCCACTAGAATGTAAGTACTATGAGGGCAACGAATTTATCTGTAGGATTCACAGTACCTCAAAAACTAGAAAAGCGTCTGGCACTAGTACACATTATTTATCTTTTAAAACACTGTTTTGATAGCACCCAGAACACATAAGATAGCATAAAAAACATCTAATTACAAGGAAAATTATCAAATTTGCTAAATATGAACTATTCTTAACTGAATCAGATTTTTGCCAATCAATAAACCATAATTAAAATATCGTATTCCCTAAAGCAGTCCTAAATTATCAGAATATTCTGTAATTCAAGGTCAGTACACTCATTTATATCACTTTTAATGGTATAAAGAATGTATGGCACTTACACGTTCCCCTCTTCATCTTCTCTAATTTTTTTTTTTTTTAGAAACTGACAAAAACCCCAAACCAGGGTTGTCCAACAGAACTTTCTGCATTAGGAAATCTTTATCCGTGCTGTCCAATACAGTAGCCAGGAGCCACATGTGGCCAGTGCATACTTGAAGTGTGGCCAGAGTGATTAAAGTACCCAATTTCAAATTGTACTTAATTTTGACTAATTTAAACAGCCACACGTGGCCAGAGGCTGTCATACTGGACAGCACAGAACAGGCTCCATCTCCAGCCTTATTCCAACTCTTCAGAGCCGTGCACCAGCCGGGGGAAGATGTAAGGTGGACGACGGGGACAGCGCTGCAGAGGAATTTGGAACATTCCCCTCATGTGGTATGAGGGGAATAGCCACGCCTATTCATATAGTTGCTAGCTTGAGAAAATTTTAATGATACAACATGTTATAGGAGTAATAGTTGACACAGCCTTACTTATCATATTTGAAGATTAAATAAGATAGTTGTTTGTGAAAGCAGTTTGTAAATTACAAAACGCTATCCCCAAATGAATTATTGACATTAATAGTTCTGGAAATGAATGCTACTGATATGCTGAAACGGTTCTTACATCAATGAATTTGAGCTCTAAGAAGGCAGGAACTTGTGTCTGTTTAGTTCACCACTGAATTCCCAATGCCTAGAAAACACTTGGCATATGGCAGATATGGAAAATAATATTTGGTGGCTTGGCGCCAGTAGCTCAGCGGCTAAGGCACTAGCCACATACACTGGAACTGACGGGTTCAAATCCAGCCAGGGCCTGCCAAACAACAATGACAACTACAACCAAAAAAATATAGCTGGGCGTTGTGGCGGGCACCTGTAGTCCCAGCTACTTGGGAGGCTGAGGCAAGAGAATCACTTAAGCCCAAGAGTTTGAGGTTGCTGTGAGCTGTGATGCCATGGCACTCTACCTAGGGTGACAGCTTGAGACTTTCTCAAAAAAAAAAAAATAAAAATAAAGACAATATTTCATGAATGGGTAAATTATAAAACCTTTAATGGAACTAAAGTTTGATCAGGTAGGAAAGCAATTTCTTTTAACTTTAAAAGTTTTTTTTTTTTTTACAATACTGTTTTGGACACAAGGAAGGCAATTTTTAATATTTTTTTTTGATGTCGGCTATCTCAGCATGAGGGTGTACAGATCCTACTTATTTCTGTCTCCATAAAGTCTTACATTTCTGACTGTGAAGAGATTCAAATGGCATAATGCAAAGAAGAGACAGAGAAGTTTTCTTCTTGATCTTCCTAGTTTTGTTAATTTGGACCATAGAAGAAAAGGGGGGGAAAAACCCAAGGAGCTGCCCCTCCTGGTCATTTCTTTATAGGTCTTAGGAAATACATATCACAGAACAGTTCTGATCCTACATGCTCGTTAAGGCCAATGAAACAGTGATTACTTCTGCACTAATAAATTATAGGAAAACTACTGTCTTTTAAAGCAAATTAATAATCATCAAAACATGAAAACATCTGACTACATTAAGACTTAGGCAATATGCCTAGTCGGAAAATACAGTCTATACAATAAAATAAGGTACTTTAAAGCAGGAAAGAGGCTGTTTCTAAAAGGCAATTTATTAATGTTTCATCACAATTTCACACACAGAGTGAGTTAAAACATCTACTTACATAAATGCTTATTCACAGAAAAGTACCTGTTCAGTTTGAAGTTGCTCTCGAAGCACCCTTACTAGCTCTTGGTTTTCTGGGTGAATATTTTGATGTACATTTCTGGTGAACAGAATATAAAAAACTTTGAATAGAAAATACTGTCAGACGAATCCATTTTCTTTATGGGTCTAATTTTCGGCTCAGAACTCCTGTTAGCTTTATAAACATGGACGGCAGCAGCCACCTGCACTTCAATCCTGGGGCCGTGTGCTCCAGGCTCGTCTGTGGCTACTTCTTCTGAGATCACTGATTTTTAGCTGATTTCAGGTTCAATGGGTAAATGACAAAATCCAAAGGCCTAGGATTTATGGTCATTGCAAGCTTACAAATAAAGAGCAATTAACACACTTATTTCTTTTGTGGAATTCCTTCAAAATAAGTGGCTGGCTAGGCGCCTATAGCTCAACCGGCTAAGGCGCCAGCCACGTACACCTAAGGTGGCGGGTTCGAATCCCCAGCCCGGACCTGCCAAACAACAATGACGGCTGCAACCAAAAAATAGCCGGGCGTTGTGGCGGGCGCCTGTGGTCCCAGCTACTTGGGAGGCGGAGGCAGGAGACTCGCTTGAGCCCAGGAGTTGGAGGTTGCTGTGAGCTGTAATGCCACGACACTCTACCCAGGGGGACAGCTGGAGGCTCTGTCTCAAAAAAAAAAAAAAAAAAAAAAATAAGTGGCTATATGGTTCTGTATATTATTTTGTATTTGACTACGTTTCTACATCTTATTGAGTCTTTCTCCTCACTTTTCGGGTATAAAGGGACAAAAACAGAGCTGAAACTAAAATTACATGTTGTAGAAAAGCCAAACTTAACATACCACTAACGTCTTAACATTAATAATTAGAATAGAGAATCAAAGGCAAGAAATTAGTAGTTAATAACAATGAGATGGGATAAGACATAGGAGTATTGAGATGGTCGGGTTGGTAGAAAGGGGATGAAGATTCATATTTGAATCACAGCTTAATTTCACTTGGCTATAGATGTTTTCTCTAAACTTAAATGTCTTGAACAACAATGTTTTAAGTTTACACAGTCACAGGATTACTCTATTGAAGAGTCTTTACCCTCTGGGTAAGCCAGGATCCAACAGAAATAAGAACCCATATCCTAATTGGATAGGGAAAATTTTTTTTTAAAATCTAGTCTATGATAATTCAGTTTTTTGTAAAAATGAAAATTTTAGAAAAGAAAACCAACAAAATATAACCATTAGTTCAAAGAAGACATAAAAACAATTTAAAGGCAAATATCTACACAGAAGTTCACAGTATGTAAGTGCTTGCTTAAACCTCTTAAATGTTTATGGATTCTTTGTTTTAGATTAAGTTGGCTGGCTCGCTGCCTGCAGCTCACTGGCTAGGGCTCCAATGCACCAGGTCTGGCAGGTTTGAGGTCCAGGCCAGCTGAACAACATGACAATTTCAACAACAACAACAACAACAAAAATAGCCGGGTGTTGTGGGGGGGGTGCCTGGAGTCCCAGCTAATTGGGAGGCTGAGGCAAGAAAATTGCGTAAGCCCAAGAGTTTGAGGTTGTGGTGAGCTATGATGCCATGGCACTCTACCGAGGGCAACATAGAGAGACTCTGTCTCAAAAAAAATGCCCGGGTATAGTGGCTCATGCCCATAATCCTAGCACTCTGGGAAGCCAAGGCAGGTGAACTGCTTGAGCTCACAAGTTTGAGACCAGCTTGAGCAAGAGCAATAGCCCATCTCTACTAAAAATAGAAAAACTGAGGCCAGAGGATCACCTGACCCCAAGAGTTGGAGGTTGCTGTGAGCTATGATGATGATGTGGCACTTTAACCAGGGTGATAGCTTGAGACTCTGTCTCAAAAAATAAAATAAAGTAAAATAAAATAAGTTACATTCTTATGACTAAAGAGATGATTGATGAAATAAAGCTACTTCTATATGAAAGCAATCTATCAAGGAGCATGCTAGCACAGGGACCGCCTCATTTCAATTCAACCACTGAAGAGCTAGGTAAACGGCATTCTTCTGTTCTTTGAGGCTAGAATACCTTTTCCTTTTTATTGAAAAAAAAATTAGGTATGAGGCTTCCCAGTGCAGACATGAACCCTGCAACTGAAAGGTCCCTTCCTCGGCTTCCTTCTGTAAAATACATAGGAATTTTAGGCCAGGTTTGGTGGTTTATCCCTGTAATCCCAGAACTTTGGGAGGCCAAGATGGAAGGACTGCTTGAGCCCAGAAGTTCCAGACCAGCCTGAGCAAGAGCGAGACCTTGTCTCTAGAGTAAATGAAGTAAATTAACTAGGTGTGGTGGTGCACATCTGTAGCCCTAGCTACTTGGGAGGCTGATGTAGGAGGATCACTTGAGCCCAGGAGCTGAGCTCATGATGGTGCTACTGCACTCTATTTGGGACAACAGAGTAAGGCGCTGTCTCAAAAAAAAAAAAAAGGAATTAAAAAAATCCAACAATAAAATGTTTGAGAAGTCAAAGTATATCCAAAGCATAAGAACAAACACCCCAAACCACTAAATACTGCCTGTAGCTCAGGAAATTAAATGTGATTGGCAGCTATGATTATAGAACAAAAAAATCTGTACTAAAAAGCAATGGAGGCTCAGCGCCTATAGCTCAACCGGCTAAGGCGCCAGCCACGTACACCTAAGGTGGCGGGTTCGAATCCCCAGCCCGGACCCGCCAAACAACAATGACAGCTGCAACCAAAAAAAAAAAAAATAGCCGGGCGTTGTGGCGGGCGCCTGTGGTCCCAGCTACTTGGGAGGCTGAGGCAGGAGACTCGCTTGAGCCCAGGAGTTGGAGGTTGCTGTGAGCTGTAATGCCATGGCACTCTACCCAGGGGGACAGCTTGAGGCTCTGTCTCAAAAAAAAAAAAAAAAAAAAAAAAAAGCAATGGAATAATTAAACACCAGGTAGACTAAAATCATGACTGGAAAATCTGGGACATAAAGATCACCTTAACTATGAAATTATAGAAGAAACTAAAATTATATAATATGCAAAAGCATTTGATACTAAGTAGGTCTAAAGTAAGCTTCCAAGATGGTAGCTCAAATACAGAAGTGAAGTACTTGTTTTGTTACTGCATTTTCCAATGACGTAAGGCCCTTCCTGTTCTTTGAAAGTGGAAACTAAAACTACCAAACCAGCTAAGTTGTATGTAGCTCTGCAAAGAAGCTGGGAAACTCTGATGTAAGGAAAGAAATGATACCCAAACCCTGGGACACGGAAAGAAAGTTTGAGTCAACTATACAGACATGAAAGGCGCTTTAGGGTGGTTTCTGGTCTGCCAGCAAATGGCAGCTGTTATAAATACGCAAGAAGGAAGAACAAATACAAATATCTTAAAAGAAATTTGAGGCTGGGCATGGTGGCTCATGCCTGCAAACCTAGCACTCTGAGAGGCCAAGGCAGGTGGATTTCTTGAGCTTAGGAGTTTGAGACCAGGGTGAACAAGAGTGATACCCTATCTCTACTAAAAATAGATAACACTACCTGGGCCTAGTCCACCCTTTAAAACAATTTTGGAATTTTTTTTTTGGAATGACCACCGGAGCTGTCATCATACCAGTTCTGACAGTTCACAAACTTGCCGCCAGGTCCTTACAGGGCAGCACTGTGCAAAGGAGTCAGTACAGTGCCATAAGCTGGTACATCAGCGTCTCACAGCCACGTCTGTGTTATATGTGGGGCAGCGTCTTGCTGAGCGGCGTTCATTATTGTTGTGTGTTTTTGTGCACCAGATGACAATGGCTCTGATGGTCATTCCAGAAAGAGTTCCAAAATTGCTTAGAAGGATGGACTAGATGCTGCCATCAGTATGTATTGTCCCAAGGACAACACTTCAAAGGTGACCGTAGTGATATTCACCAATTGTATGTAGCCCTTTTTCTTAGGATGAGTTTGTGAACTTAACTGATAGACCTCACAGTGACACATAAACCAATGGAAAAGAACATAGAGCCCAGAAATAAGTTCTTACATATTTGACTGCTATAGACTGAATGTTTGTGTCCTCCACCCTTGACAAAACACATATGTTGAAATCCTAATCCCTAATGAGATAGTATTTGGAGAGGCCACATTTGGAAAGTAAGTAGGTCATGAAGGTGGGTAACTGGGTCGTGATGGGATTAGTGCCCTTATATTAGTAAGAAGAGGTAGGAGGGAGCTTGCTCCCAGCCTCTACTCTGCCACATAAAGCTGCAACAAGTAAATAGCCACCTGCAAACCAGACACCACATCTGACAACACCTTGATCTTGGACTTCCCAGCCTCTGGAACCGTGGATAGTTAAATGTTTGTTATGTAAGCAATCCAGCCTATGGTTAACAATTCAGACTGACTAAGACAATGGTCAGCTGACTTTTGACAAGGGGGATAAAACTATTCAATGGGGAAGGTAGAGTCTTTTAACAAATGGTGCTGAGAAAATTGAATATTCCACATGCAAAAAAAAAAATTGGGGCTTGGTGCCTATAGCACAGTACTTACAGCAATAGCCATATATACCGAGGCTGGTGGGTTTGAACCCAGCAAAACAACAATGACAACTGCAACAAAAAATAGCCGGGCGTTGTGGCGGGTGCCTGTAGTTAGTCCTAGCTATTTGGGAGGCTAAGGCAAGAGAATCACTTAAGCCCAAGAGTTTGAGGTTGCTGTGAGCTGTGACACTATGACACTCTACTGAGGGTGACATAGTGAGACTCTGTCTCAAAAAAAAAAAAAATTGGGACCCTCATCTCACCATATATAAAATTAAATAAAAATATATCAAAGAATTAAATTTAACCGTTAAAACTAGTATGGAAATCAGTATAGATATTTCTCAAAGAACTGCAAGTAGATCTACTGTTCAATCCTGTAATCCCACTACTGGGTAAGGAGAAGGAGATATTACATCAAGAAGACACCTGCACTCACATGTTTATCACAGCACAATTCACAATTGCAAAGCTACAGAGAATCAAAGCGCACATCAACCAGACTGGATAAAGAAAATGCAGTATATAGAGGGTGCCAAAAAACGTATACACATTTTTAAAAAGGAAAAAAAAACTATATTAAAATTGTAATACTCAATATATACCAATAACAAAAGATGAATACAAATCATGTTTGAGCACCTCTTGGCATTGCAGAAGTCAAATGTGACTTAAGTATTACGATTTTAATATAGCTGTTTCTTTTCCTAAAATGTGTATACATTTTTTTGGCACCTTCTATATATTACGGAATACTGCTCAGCAACAAAAAAGAATGAAATAATGTCTTTTATTTATTTTATTTATTTATTTATTTATTTATTTTTTTTGAGACAGAGCCTCAAGCTGTCCCCCTGGGTAGAGTGCTGTGGCATTACAGCTCACAGCAACCTCCAACTCCTGGGCTCAAGCGAGTCTCCTGCCTCTGCCTCCCTGGTAGCTGGGACCACAGGCGCCCGCCACAACGCCCGGCTATTTTTTGGTTGCAGCTGTCATTGTTGTTTGGTGGGTCCGGGCTGGGGATTCGAACCCGCCACCTTAGGTGTACGTGGCTGGCGCCTTAGCCGGTTGAGCTATAGGTGCCGAGCCGAAATAATGTCTTTTAGAGCAATCTAGATGAAAGTGCAGGCCCGTATCCTAAGGGAACTAATTTAGGAATGGAAACCAAATACCATGTTATCACTTTTACCACCTACAAGGGGAGCTAAACAATGGCTACGTGTGGTCACACAGAGTGATGTGATGGACAGTAGAGACTCTGCAGGGGAGGCTGGAAGGAGAATGCAGACTGGAACATTACCCACAGGTACACTAAAGTCTCCACGTAACAAAGCTTCACTTATACCACCTAAATCTATTAAAGTATTATTTTTTTTGAGATAGAATCTCACTGTCACATTGGGTAGAGTGCTATGGTGTTGTCATAGCTCACAGCAACCTCAAATTCCTGGGTTGGAGTGATCCTCTTGCCTCAGCCTCCCACGTACCTGGGACTACAAGTGTCTGCCATAACACCTGGCTAGTTTTTCTATTGTTAGTAGAGATGGGGGTCTAGCTCCTGCTGAGGCAGGTGTGGAACTCCTAGGCTCAAATGATCTTCCCACCTCAGCCTCCCAGAGTGCTAAGATTATAGGTGAGATTAAGCTTAGTGAGAAAGTCATGTCAGAAGCCAAGACCGGCCAAAAGCTAGGCCTCAAGACAAAATTAATTAATTTTTTTAAAAGTTAAAACTATAGGCTTGGAGCCGTAGCTCAGTGAGTAGGGCGCTAGCCACATATACCGAGGCTAGGAGGTTCGAGCCTGGCCCGGGTCTGCTAAACAATGACAACTGCAACCAAAAAGTAGCCGGGCATTGTGGTGGGTGCCTGTAGTTTCAGCTGCTTGGGAGGCTGAGGCAAGAGGATGCTTGATACAACAGATTGATAGTAACTTCATCCAAGTTACTATTAAATTGAATAGAATGGTTTCAAGGACAGAGCCCTGCAGCAGTGGACAGCATCCTCCTTTTTGGAGGAGCAACCTGCCGACCAATTATGAATTCACTTAACTCTGCTATCCTCTGGTATCATCTTCCCCATCACGTTCACACGCGTACCACCAGTGTCATTCTGGATTATCAGTCTGTAAAACTTGGAGTCAAGGTAAGGTTATGCTAACAAGAGACTTCAAACCAGGTATGCTGGCACACCATGGCTATAATCCCAGCACTCTGAGAGGCAAGGCGGGAGGACTGCCTGAGGCCAAACACAGTGACACCCTGTCTCAATAAAAAGTAAAAAAAGTTAGGCAAGGTGGGAGGCTTGCTCGAGCCCGAGGCTATAGTGAGCCATGATCAGGCCACAGTGTGGGTGAGAGCCTATGTACACAGTTATGATTTAAAAAATAAATAAATAAAATAAATAAACAAAAGACTATCACTGCACAGGTAAATGATCAAATTAACGCCATTTTTTCAAGTTTCCACATTTGTTAATAATCCTTTCTGGAATTTTTATAGGAAGACATAAACTGATTTGTAATTTTCAGAATTAACCTTTTTCTATTTTGTACTTTTTTCATTTCTGCTTTAATGTGTATACAAAATTTTATCTATCTTCATGCACTAACTCTTAAATTTCTACTTTATTGTCTAGTACCCATATTATTGATACACAGACATCTGAGATTTTTAAATGTTCTTCCTGATTCTATAATAGTTAAGTAAGACTAATTAATTAAAATTAATTCTAGAGTGGGCATAGCACCTACAGATGCAGGGAACTGGGAGGCTTAGGTGGGAGGAACACTGGAGCCTACGAGTTTGAGTCCAGCCCAGGCAACAGTGAAACCCCCAACTCTAAAAAAATAAGTAAATAGCTAATAAGTAAACTAAAACTAATTCTAATATTAATTTTCTTTACACTAGCCAAGTCCTTTTTTACTTCAGTTTTTCCATTTAAAAACTGAACATACTTTGCCCTAATTATCTATATCACCTGTGAGTTGATGGATTGAATTATGAAAATTATTTTTAAACAGTGATACTCCCATAGAACATAGTATCACTATTTTATTTAAAATATGAATGATGGATTTAAATATTATCTTGTTAAGACAGTTAATGACAGGAAAGATATATGCTAGTAATCAGAGCCGAGTGGAAAATAAAATACCTTAGTAAATATCTACAATCATTGAGATCTATTATTTGCTTTTCATATTAAGTATTACGCATTACTAAGACTCAAAAGTCAGTGGCCCATGTAAATGTATAATATTTTAATTCTTTTGTTCTTTAGTCTCACCTGAAAAGTGCATACACCAGGGTAGCAACCAAAGCGACACTGACCACGACTGCCACAAGCACTTGGTCACTTACTCCTTCTATAACTGAATCATCGTCCAGTTTCAAACTCTGAACTTCACCTTGATATCTGGCCATTCCAGGTCTAAAATATGAAACAATAAGAAAAAAGTTACAAATGACAGAATGAAAAGAAAATGTACGAATAAAAGCAATAAAACTGACTTCTAAGACATTTAATTTTGGCAGCAAACATGTGAGGGAGGCTGCATCAAGCACGACCCCAGTGGGCAGGCTCCTAGTATTGGGGTTTTTAAAAGATGACAGGTACATTTGTTTGGGGAGTACAAAATTCTATTTCCTTTAAGGAAAACAATTATTATAATTTAACATTCAATTATATTTTTAAAAATAATTTTTTTTTTTTGAGACAGAGTCTTGCTCTGTCACCCCAACTAGAGTGCAATGGCGTCATCATGGCTCACAGCAACCTCAAACTCCTGGGCTCAAGCCATTTTCCTAAGTCAGCCTCCTAAGTAGCTACTATAGGTGCACACCAGGACACTTGGATGATTTTTCTATTTTTTATAGCTATGGGGTCTTGCTCTTGCTCAGGCTAGTCTTAACTCCTGAGCTCAAACAATCCTCCCACCTCAGCCTCCCAGAGTCGTAGGATTACACTATGCCTGGCCTAAAATAAAATTAAAAAGAACTACTTTTTCTTCTTTATGCTTAGCTTTTAAGAAAAAAGATGCTCTTGCCAACTGCTCATTTCTTACTCCTGAATAACAAATAAATTCTCCAAGTAGATCAGATCTCTCTTCTCCCTCATAGCCCTGAATGTGTGTGTCTTATAGAATTTACCATGTATGGATGGAAAGGGGAACATATTCTACTCTTTTGTAAACATTCTTATAAGCCCTGGTAGGACTTACAGACATTTATTTAAATAAAAGTGACTTCCATATACTTACAGTGTTAGTAATTTGAAAAGTAAAAGATACTTAGGCTATAGGATATTTATATTTATATCAAGACCACTTGAATTAATGGAAATTTTTGTGTTTGAAAAACCATTAGCCTCACCTGAAACCAAGCTCAGCTTATGGTTCAGAATTCATTGGACTGGAATATAGAATCACTCTGTGGCTGCATTTCCTTATGAAGAGAAAAGGGGGGGGGATATGAAACTCTCCTTCCCACACTCTAGACTAGAACAAAACAGTAGTACCCAACTCTACAGGTATGAGGAAACACAGCCCAACCACTTCCGAGTTGATAAAACAGTGAAGTTCAAAGCATTATAAGATACTTAAAAGGAAATAAAGGAAATATTCAACTAACTATGAGATATTAACAACTAAAACAAAGTTCTGCACTTACATAACTCAGGGAATTAAAAAAAGTATATCCAATGTCATCGTTAATCAGGTATTTTAAATGTGAAAGTCTTAATACCTTTGAAAAGAATCTGAACTGGCAGCTAGTAAGAAAATGCCTCTCCTGGAAGAAACCTAAGCAAACAAATAGATCAAAGGCAGTTTTCATCAGCTTTACGCATAGTAATGGCCTGATACATGAGGAACTCTCTAATGACAGGTTTCAAATACCCATTAGGAAGGTGCGCACCAGGAAACTCAGGGAAAGAGCTGAGTTTCATGATATTCATCCCAAAGAACAGTCAAATAAACTGGCCAGCTGAAACCGAGCTTCAAGTAACGTGGAGTGGCCATGAAATCGATTTAGACTTTTATTTTATCACATTTCGTCTTTGTAAATTAGAGATGCTGTGACCACTGAAAGTCCCAGGGGCAGTAAGAGCTACTTGCATCTGCTCAGAGACAACCAAAATGGTATTCCCTGTGTCAAGATTCTGAGCCTCTAATTAATTCACAGAGTTGTGAGGCTTAAACCAAACTAACACAGGCAAAAGTACCTTGCAAGTTAAGTTCACCAACAAATACAATTTTTTTTTTTCTTTTTTGAGACAGTCTCACTTTGTTGCCCCCCAGGAGAGTGCGGTGGCGTCACAGCTCACAGCAACCTCAGACTCCTGAGCTCAAGCGATTCTCTTGCCTCAGCCTCCTGAGTAGTTGGGACTATAGGCACCTGCCACAAGCCCAGCTATTCTTAGAGATGGGGTCTTGCTCTGGCTCAGGCTGATCTTGAACCTGTGATCTCAGGCGAACGCCCACCTCGGCCTCCTAGAGTGCTGGGAGCCACCATGCCCAGTCCATATATTCTAATTAATACTATTTTCCACACCCAGTCCATATATTCTAATTATTACTATTTTCTCCTATTCTATAGTTGGGCAGTTTACTACTTTGCATTTTTAAAAAATGCATTTCATTTGTATCTGTGCCCTTCCAGGTGCAACTGGTGATAATGTGACTAAATTCTACGTTAAAATTTATTTGACTTCTATGCAATTATGTCCTTTGATATATACTTACAGGACACTTTAAGTGCTGCAGGCCCACATAATTTCATTTGCACCGTTTTATAGCAGCATTTCTCATTGTTGTTGAGAGGAACAGGAAACTCCACTTCATTTTCCTGTCGGGAAACCCCAACTAAACCTGGGGCTGTCACATGGAGATCGGCTAATGGTGTTTGACCTACTTGTTGGGGGCTTCAATAGTGTAACTTCTGTCTTAGTTTTTTTTTTTTTTTATAATTGGCATAAAAACAGAAGTGTAAATGTGAAATGAGCTGCTATTTCAGTTTGAAAAGAGGTTGCTCTGACTTAAAATTACAGGTGATAAACAATAAAAAGAAAATTTCCACTTGAGGTAATGACATAATACTTCAGTCTTTTTTTTTTTTTTTTTTTTTTGAGACAAGAGTCTCAAGCTGTCACTTTGGGTAGAGTGCTGTGACATCACAGCTCACAGCAACCTCCAACTTGGGCTCAAGTGATCCTCTTACCTCAGTTTTTCTATTTTTAGTAGAGACAGGGTCTTGCTCTGGCTCAGGCTGGTCTTGAACCTGTGAGCTCAAGCATCTACCTGCCTCGGCCTCCCAGAGTGCTAGGATTACAGGCATAAGCCACAGAGGCGTCCAATACCTCAGTCTTGAAAATGAATTCCAAAATCAATCTGGACTTCGATTCTCCAACTTTTTTTTTTCCATAGTTAGGTTTTTATCTAAAACTAAACAATGCTACTGATTTTGCCAATAGCCCAGGCTCTAAAGGGAAGCCCCAACACTTGCCACTCAGCCATTAAGAGCCCTAGATTTTAATTCCAAGTCTGCTGTCAAAGTAAATAAAATTCAACTGTTAGAACCCCAAAACACTTTAAACCTTGAGAGAGATGTTACTGTGATCTGAGTCACGTAACATGTTTACAATTCTGCTTCTTAGATTAGAGCTTAACTCTCTACCTCATTGTTGCTGCTCTATAAATGACTAAAGAAGACCAGAGTCCAGACCTCCCCCTTCTAATCACTGATCTTTATTATAGATTAACTGCCTTCTTTATTGTCCTGCACCTAACTCAGACCAGATGGTGCTCCAAACAGGGACCCTGTAACAGTGACATCTTCAGTGTAAAATGCTAAATACAGCCTCTGTGAGTTGACCACCCAAGGGACTGTAACAAACTGGTCAACATACGGAAATGATCAACATAAGGAACCAGGCCTACTGTACTGATGTGCACAGGTGGTGCATGTCTGGTCTATAAAAATTAGGTTAATTGGCTTGGCGCCTATAGCTCAACCAGCTAACGCGCCAGCCACGTACACCTAAGGTGGCGGGTTCGAATCCCAAGCCCGGACCCGCCAAACAACAATGACGGCTGCAACCAAAAAATAGCCGGGCGT